TCCTCCAGGAAGTGCCCGTGTGGGCGTGTTTTGGTGCAGGCAGCGTCCTCACATCAAGCTGCAGTGCCCATGAACAAATGGCTGCGGCAAGGCTGCACAGGACCCCACAGCCATCGGGAGACCGCCGAAAACTGGAGGCGGCCATCGGGAGACCGCCGAAAACTGGAGGCGGCCATCGGGAGATCGCCGAAAACTGGAGGCGGCAATCGGGAGACCCCTAAAAACTGGAGGCGGCCATCGGGAGACCCCTAAAACTGGAAGCAAGGCAAGCATTTAAAGACGGAGACGCAGCATACAATGTGCATGTTGACATGTTCAGGAACACGTGTGGGGTTTATAATATCACATGACATCCCCTGCGGATCGTCCGAGTGACTTCCTGAAACGCTTCGCCGAGTCCGGAGAGTTTTTCTGCGCAGCAGAAATAGAAAAACCATAACGGAGAAATCCTTGAAGCACCGGGACTTCCGGCGTCCTCCGGGCCACCGCGTGGAAGGCGTGGCTGCGGACGGCGCACATCCACAAACACGTCAGTGACACAGCAACACGTTAAAGTAGTAACGAGCTTTGCGCAGGGAACATTTCCTCCCCGCGACCTCCATCGTCCGCCGAACAAAAGCCGCTCCAACGCTCGGGTTGCAAACTCATATTTACTTTCTTTTTTTTTTTTACAGCGGGACAAGGCAACAAAAATGTCGTCTTTGGCGCAGTCCGTACAAGTGCCTGAGGTCAGAGGTCAGGTGCCGTATAAATAGCTTAGAAAACGACAATTTCATCATTTGGTTATCAAAATACTAAAAACTTTTGTCGCCGAGTTAAAATCTAAAAGGTCCACAAGACAGGAAAGCCCTTGCGCCCGGGTTCTGGAGGGAGCAGTTGACGTTCAGGGAACCCCCTCCCCCACCCCCCCTCCCATATAATGGAGTCACCAGACAAAGCCGGGGCAGCGCTGCAGCGTTCAGAGGTCCCCCCCCCTCCCCCCTCCCAATAACACTTCAGTCGGATTTCAGTAAAGGAAACAAAAAAAAACAAAAAAAGGATCCTCATTCGTGTCTCCCGGCTCGGGGGTGGGGCGCAGAAACGGCCTTTTCACCCATAGGGTCCAATCAGAGATCAGAATCGTCCAAACATATTGGAAGCTTGCTGTGGTTGTGTGTCTGCAAAGGAACAGAGAGAAGCCCTCAGTATGCGCAGACGGGAACAATGATACAAAGCAGGGAAGATGGAGCGCGGGACGCAGAGAAGATGGAGCAGAGGACACAGAATATAACAGGACGCAGAGAAGATGGAGCGCGGGACGCAGAGAAGATGGAGCGCGGGACGCAGAGAAGATGGAGCGTGGGACGCAGAGAAGATGGAGCAGAGGACACAGAATATAACAGGACGCAGAGAAGATGGAGCGCGGGACGCAGAGAAGATGGAGCGCGGGACGCAGAGAAGATGGGGCAGAGGACGCAGAGAAGATGGAGCAGAGGGCGCAGAATATAACAGGACGCAGAGAAGATGGAGCCGAGGACGCAGAGAAGATGGAGCAGAGGGCGCAGAATATAACAGGACGCAGAGAAGATGGAGCCGAGGACGCAGAGAAGATGGAGCCGAGGACGCCAAATATAACAGGACACACAACCCACTCTACTCACTGGATAATTGCTGCTGTAGCTGTCGCACGAGAGCCGCCGTCTGTTGCTGCTGCTGAGTCTGCTGGAGGCCTTGTCTCTGAAACTGAAAAGGTAAAATGCTGAAAACACGCAAGAGACGTCTACAGGTCATCGGAGGACGGGGAGGACGGGGAGAGCGGGAAGGACGGGGAGAGCGGGGAGGACGGGGAGAGCGGGGAGGACGGGGAGAGCGGGGAGGACGGGGAGAGCGGGGAGGACGGGGAGAGCGGGGAGGACGGGGAGAGCGGGGAGGACGGGGAGAGCGGGGAGGACGGGGAGAGCGGGGAGGACGGGGAGAGCGGGGAGGACGGGGAGAGCGGGGAGGACGGGGAGAGCGGGGAGGACGGGGAGAGCGGGGAGGACGGGGAGAGCGGGGAGGACGGGGAG